AGAACCCGGGCGCCCTCCCCTCTCCCCGCCCTGGGGCCAGGCACCCCGACACCCTCCCCCCACCGGGGCCAGGCATGGAGCCCAAGAACCCTGACCCCTCTGCCCATAGGGGCCAGGCACTGGTGCCATGTGGTGGCCAATGTGCAGGATCCCAGCTCCGCTCTGCCTGTGGGGATTGGGCAGACAGCCTGGCTGAGAACAGCCTCACTTCGTGACAGAAGTGGGCGCCGGGCTCTGTTATTCTCAGGGGCTTGGGGTGCAGGGACCCAGAGGCCAGTCCTGAGGCTGGCATGGAGGGGCAGAAGGGAGTTCCGGGGTCTCACCGTGGTGTATTTGCCCAGCTGGCACAGCGAGGGGAAGGTCTCCTGGTGGGCCTTGCTGACTTTCTGGATCAGCTCCTCCAGCTCGGGCGTCATTTCGTAGCTGTCCACCACGGCCTCCTCCTTCACATCCTTCTTCTTCTTGTTGCGGTCGTTCCGCACAGCTGCCGGGGAGAGGCGGGTGGGGGGGGCACCCGGCTGGGAGCGTGTGGGACGCTGCGGTCGAGGGGGGTTAGGCCCTGGAGAGCTGACCCGGCCAAACACCCCCACAGTTGGGAGACTCCTCGGCCGGGTCGCTGGCTGGTGTAAAGGGCAAGAGCCACTGACTTGAGCAGGGCGGGGACGGTTTGTATCAGTCGGGGTCTGGCCCAGCTCACACCCGCTGGGAACCTGGCCCCACTGGCTCCAGTGCAGCAACTCCCATTTACACCATGCAGGGATCCAGCCCCAGCGCTGCCCAGGTACCCCGGCTGGGGCCACACGACTGTCGCTGTAACGTCTCAGACCACATGCTTTGGGCAGCCCCATATGGCTAGTGGGGGGCAGGGCAGGCTGGGAGCGTGTGGGACGCTGCGGTCGAGGGGGGTTAGGCCCTGGAGAGCTGACCCGGCCAAACACCCCCACAGTTGGGAGACTCCTCGGCCGGGTCGCTGGCTGGTGTAAAGGGCAAGAGCCACTGACTTGAGCAGGGCGGGGACGGTTTGTATCAGTCGGGGTCTGGCCCAGCTCACACCCGCTGGGAACCTGGCCCCACTGGCTCCAGTGCAGCAACTCCCATTTACACCATGCAGGGATCCAGCCCCAGCGCTGCCCAGGTACCCCGGCTGGGGCCACACGACTGTCGCTGTAACGTCTCAGACCACATGCTTTGGGCAGCCCCATATGGCTAGTGGGGGCCACATCAGTTAGGGCTGCAGGAGCTCTGGGTTCTAGTCCTGCCTCTGCTGGGTGACTCACTGCTGACTGTGTGCCTCAGTTTCTCCATGTGGGCCCTGTGTTTGGGCTGCCCCTCTAGGTGTATCTTGCATTGCCAGAGAGAGGGAAACTGGTGCACAACCCAGGCCCTGGGCAGGAAGGAGCAAACCCTGCCCCTCTAATGGGAACTCCCCCGCTCCAGGCCTGTGGTGCTCTGTTTCTGCCCCGGTAACATGCAGACACAACGGTCCAGACTCTTACAGCCAGAGGTTCCGGGTTTGAGCCCCATCCAGGGTATTCGGCCACCTTAGTGCCAGAAACCACTTCCACCGGCAAAGCCATTGGCCCAGAGCGGAGTTAATCAGCAGGGATGGTGCAGCTCCCTGCCCTGCGACAGGTGCACATTACCACCTGTGGCCCTGCGTGCAGCCAGCTCCCTGCCCTGTGACGGGTGCACATTACCACCTGCGGCCCTGCGTGCAGCCAGCTCCCTGCCCTGCGACGGGTGCACATTACCACCTGTGGCCCTGCGTGCAGCCAGCAAGGGGGCAGCTCCCTGCCCTGTGACGGGCGCACATTACCCCCGGGGGCCCCGCAGGCC